AGACAGGACTTCCGACCGTGGGAATCGCGCCGCCGTCGGTGGCGAGCGGACCCGCGTTCGTAATGTAAACTTTACGGGTGTGATAGACCTTGTGCCGGCAAATGACGTCAGGCAACCAGGCGTAGCGTTTGAGTGAGTTGAAGCAATCCATTCTCTGTCAATTCATCGTCGTATTCGGTTCTCACTTTTCTTGATCAAAGTGCTGCTTAATCTGATAGGGACCGATGCCATGTTAAGCAGTTTCAGCTCTTTCCTTCAGCATAACAAGCAACAAACATGGAAACCACTGCAAACTGCACGACAAACGCTTGGTATGAAATATCTCTCAGTCCCAAAACAAAGAAGCAGATGCCTGACGACCACCAGGCTTATGAACATCTCGTCATTTCTTAGTACCTGAGGTGGACAATCTACGCCTCAGCGGAAAGCAAAGTGACCTGTGTCAGTGACACAAAGTGACCTGTGTCAGTGACACTAGCTTCGCTCCGGTTTGTGTCCAGCCACCGCTGCATGACGCCGGGCCAAGACATATCGCGAGCATATTGCTCTATTTGCAGTTAGCTGAATAGCCAAATCATAAGCAGATAGATAACCAGCACAATCCCGCATCCAGTAGGTACCAGGGACGGGATTCTCTCCAGCAAACTTCGTTTGGTAAGACAGGAGTAATAGCCTTGTTCCTCGAAGAAAAACCAAAAGGAGACATAGATGCATTGATATAAAAAAGGAGACTGGAGATATAGATGCATTTATATTCAGGGAGCATGCCTTTATCGCAACGAATAGCGGAACGCATATCATTTGCTTTTACTATTCGTTTCGATAAAGGCACGTTGCAGAAATATCAACGCATCTATATCTTCATTCTCCTGGTTTTTCCACAAGGAACATGGCCTTTACTACTGTTTTATCTAAGTGCATAATGCTTCTCGCAAATGCACTGAACAACTTACGTAAACTTCGTTCTGCTCCCCATCTGTTTCTCGTTGTCAGAGCTAGCGGTGGGGTGTTGCCAAGTTCTGACATGCTATCCATTACACAACGAGAGCCCAGCCATCTTCTGCCATCTGGCAACCGCCACACTGCTGCGTGGACTGCTCAGTCCGTCAGCAGCCATCCAGCTGCCGCAGGTCACGATCACTTGGTATAAAGATCGCGATGGGCAGCAGATAGCAGAAATTTTACCAGCATTTCTTTTTCAGACCAAACGATTTATCTAAAACTTCCAGCAGGCGCGGCCAGCAGACGAGCCAGCGGGTGGCGTAGCCGGGTCGGGCGTCCGCCGCCGGCCCGAGACGGCTATGTGTGTAGACCGGAGCGGCGGCGGGCGGCGGACGCCTGGCCCGTGTCAGCTTACAGATCGGACGAGTGGGCGGTGGATCGTGGGTTTCCTGGCGGCGATGGCCATATCTTGATATTGTTAGGAGAGGCGCTCGGATGCAAGCGATCCACTCATGCGCCAATCCGCTCACCATATTATGTGCTGCTTAATATCCATGATAGAAAGTAAACATAAAATCAAATCAAAGACGGCCATTATGAGGTCAGCCCGCCCCGTGACCCCGCTGAGGAGCGGGCTTCCCAAGCTGCCATCCGTCAGATGCACAAATCCCCCCGATCTGACTCCTGACACGGGAGGATGAAAGCCGGCGATAGGGTCCATCGTGGTCTGGACTGGCAGGTACATGGCGAGTCGACCGGGCCCGGCGTGGGAGAGCGGCTGCTTTCCCCGCCGGAAACGACGCATGGCTGTTGGACGGTGGCGACGTGTTGCCCAGTGTCAACCGCTGCCTCGAGGCAGCTTTTGCTGGCCGCTTCCTGGCGGTAGTTTTGAAAGAGCTGCCCTGAGGTATGTAGTGAATGGTAGCTTGTAATAGGTTTATGGTTTGAAGCGCGGTAGAAATGTCTGCGAGTTTGAAGTGACCCAGTTATGGCTGACCCACGAGATATGAACAACAACAGGCTTATTATATGCACGCTAATGACGCGCTTTCCAGGGATGTTCACACTTAATGACAAGCAGGCCCGCAGCCTAAGAGAGCTTTAACGTCAAGTAATTAAAAATTGTTTAGGGTAAGCGATCACGTACACCTTTGTCATCATGGATTTCACCCTCATAAAATCTCCACCGACGAGAAGCTTGGTTTTTAAAAAGTTGCACGTTCATGTTTACAAGATACTTGAGTGTAGGCTGATTGATCAGGTGACATTTCTGCAACCTTGCATTGGCAGCCCCATTCCCCCTCAATGACACGTTCGATTATCATGTTTTAAGTAAAATTTTTCAAGGGACAGAAACGCCGATGGTCGTGCACCATAAGCCTTAATCTTAATCCAGAATCTTAACGAGATGAGTCCAATTGATGGAGATTGACAGGGACAGAGAGACGGATCTATTGACGGAGACAGCAGAAAATCATGCTGGCAAGTGGGGGTCAACGCGAGCAGTCTCATGCAAAGTCTCACGCACGACGTGTGCAAAGCATGGATATAACCATTTTCAGATGTTTTTAAGGACTTGTGTCAGATCTCGGCTGCCGGAGTAAATATGCTCGCAAAACCAACTGTATAAAGCATGATAATGTACCGTCTTTAAACCAGCAAACGATCCCAACACTAACAGACCAATATGCGCGTCAGTGATAAACCGCAAAGTCAACAAGGTTTTCTTTGCCAGGACTGGCCTTGAACACCACACACTGAGGCCTAAACCGGGACAAGCCGGGCCCCGAAAGCCACCTGGGCACGTGACCCGGTCTGATGTGACCAATATTCACTAAAAATACTTGCGTTTTTGCCATGCGTCCGCCACAATCTTCTCGACTGCAAACTACTGAAAAGTTACTCACTTCGCTGACTAAAATTGTCGGGCCTTGACGGCCCAAGGCCAGCTTATTACCCAGCCATCAAAACCAGTAGCTCGGACACCAAGCTTCCGTCCATCCCCTGTCAATAAGCTCATAGGCTTGTGAAAGTAGGATATTACTGTGCTGATACCATGCTCTGATATCCTACCGGCATAGGCTTCTGAAAGTGGTAGCTCTATCATCAACGTGGTAACAATAGCGCTGTCTGTTATCACCTCAGGCCGTAACCGGCGTGCTACGTTACGGCCAATAGCCTTAAAGGATTTTATGACGCATGCCACTGCTACGGTCACAAACGTCGCGGCGCCTATTCTGTCACGCTGATCGTAGCGGAGAAACCGAATCACACGATGTGGCAAGTCCCAAGCCTGGGACCTCGCTGTAGTCAGGCGTTCTCTGACGCCGAGCCCCACGTCCTCCAAAGTCACCTGAGAAGTCAGGCAACTCGACCATCGTTTGTCACACATCTACCCCCACCACCCACCACCCACCCCACCGCGCACAAACACAGACGCTGTAGGCCGTCTAGGATAACAACAGCGTACGCACCGCAGCGCGAGCGGCTTTAAAACATACCAACTTACTACCGTTCAATACATGTATCGCTCCACATACCCTCCAATTTCCCTCTATTATTAATACTTTTTGCCCCCTCTCAGCGTAAGAGATAATAAGTCTACAGACCAACGATCGTTTTCCAGCTCGTTTCTTCAGCGGACTCGATACATGTATCACAATAAAAGACCTAGGAGTTCTACGTACGCTTGCCACCACTCGCAGTTGCCAGCAATGAACACGCCTCTGCGCCATACTTCGTCACTATCAGACCGGCCAGATCCGTGACGATAACCGGCACGAACGGCTAGGGTCAACGGCCAGTGCTGACGCTCTTGTTGTTCGTTGTCTCACTAATTCGTGGCTTCATGCTCGCTCTGAATGGGTTTCCTGAATCTGCGGCTGACTTTTGCCCGTGGATGATGAGGCAGAGCGTCCGGGGGGGGGGGGGGGGGAGCACCCATCGCAACACGTTAGCCCCGTCTCGCCTGTATGCGTGTCCCACGGGGGCGTCTGGTCGTCAAAAACACGCAGGAGTTTGGTGGACAAGGAGAGACCAAATTGACGTGCGCATGCCGCGAAGTGCAGCGGACAGCTCATGAAGATCTGGCTAATGACCACTGGCTTGATTGCTGATCAGCTCTGGCCATTGTCAGCCATGCCAACATGTCATGTCACCGTGTATTATCACCATGCCACGTCACCGTATCATTCGCACGAAGCCCGTAAACGGGGAGAACCTGAAGGTTTTGCCTGGGTGCTTCAAACATATACTGACGCGCGGACCAGTGACTGAACCACCCGCATGGACCACAACCTGCGCCCCCTCCCCCCCCCCCCCGGCGGTGCGCACGGCGGCAGGACAGCGGTCATTCACATACCGGACGGCGTCTCTCATTAACAACCTGCCTGGGGATGCTCGAAGACTGAATTCAAAACAAGTTTTAGCGAGCTGCCAGTTCCTTTTTGGTGCGATGAGGTTGTCTCATACTGTTTGTGTGTTTACGTTTGTATAATTATATCCCTATCACTTCCCGTTGTTTTTGTTTGACACCCTGTTTTATTTATCAGCCCCATGACACGTAATAGCCACGCATATATGCAGAGTGTCAATTGATGCCAGATACAAATCACCATCATCATCATGTCATGACACCTTTTCATGTCCGTGTACCATACCAACATGTCATATCACCATGCCATGCCACCATGTCATGCCATCATGATAAGTTACGCCATGTCATGCCATGTAACCATGCTACGTCACCATGCCACGCCACCATGCCATGCCACCATACCATGCCATGCAATTAACCGGCAAACACAGGTTCCCTTAGGAGCTAGAACATACCAGTATCCGCCTCTGGAAGCTCTGATCCGGCTTGCGCTGGGGCGCGAGCTGCCGTTTCCGCTCCGCACCGCACGCGCCAGAACAGACACACAGCACTCGAGCTCGGCTGCCTCGAAGTCCGACAGCGCGTCACTCAGCTGCCGGCCGAGGTCACGCCAGACGGTGTCGTTTGGTGCCGCTCAGTGGTGCATTCTGCGATGGCCTGACACTGTCGTTTCCGCACGCAGGGCGACACAAGCGGCAGTACGGTCCACCGCGTGCCTACAGCATCACCGAGGTCACCACTCGGCCGTCGCAGGGCGGCGGCGCCGACCCGGCGCCCACCCCCACCGGCGTGGCCAGCTATCAGGGCTACCCGATCCCGGCCGCTCCGCCCATCGAGGCCGTCGACCAGCAGCTGGTGGCGGGGGTGCAGGGCGGCGCGCCGCCCGCCGAAGAGCAGCAGCAGCCGGCCTACTCGCAGCCGCTGCCCGCCGAGGAGCAGCAGCAGCCGGCCTACTCGCAGCCGCCGCCCGCGCGACCCGAGCCAACCGTCGCTCAGCCGCAGCCGACGTACTTCCAGGCGGAGACGCCGCAGCCGCAGCCGACGTACTCTCAGCCGGGTACTCAGGAGCCTCAGCCGACAGCTGCGGCGCCTCAGCCCACGTACTCCGAGCCCACAGTGCCGGCGCCTCAGCCCACGTACTCCGAGCCCACAGTGCCGGCGCCTCAGCCCACATACTCCGAGCCCACAGTGCCGGCGCCTCAGCCCACGTATTCTGAATCAATAGTTTCTGCATCTCAGCCCACAAGTTCTGCACCTGAGCCCACTTATTCTCAGCCTATAGTTCCTGCGCCTCAGCCTACTTATTCTCAGCCCACAGTTCCTGCGCCTCAGCCCACTTATTCTCAGCCTACAGTTCCTGCGCCTCAGCCCACTTATTCTCAGCCCACAGTTCCTGCGCCTCAGCCCACTTATTCTCAGCCTACAGTTCCTGCGCCTCAGCCCACTTATTCTCAGCCCACAGTTCCTGCGCCTCAGCCCACTTATTCTCAGCCTACAGTCCCTGCGCCTCAGCCTACGGTTCCTGCGCCTCAGCCCACTTATTCCCAGCCTACAGTTCCTGCGCCTCAGCCCACTTACTCTCAGCCTACAGTTCCTGCGCCTCAGCCTACATACTCTCAGTCTTCAGTCCCTGTACCACAACCCTCCTACTCTCAGCCTGCCGTTCCATCCCCACAGGCCACGCAGCCTCAGCCCGCCGTTCCTGCCCCGCAGCCCACATACAGTCAAGCTGGGCCAGCCGCTGCGCAGCTCCCCTCCTCGCAGCCGGCCGCTGCGCCCGCCCCTCAGCCGTCGCCAGCTGTTCCGCCCGCGCCGCCAGCCCAGGCGCCGGCCGCCGCCTCCGGGGCTTCTGCTCAGCTTCGGCCGCAGCCACTCGGAACTTACGGCGACGCCTTCTTCGGAGGTGAGCAGAACCACCGGCGAAGGGAGGGGGGGGGGGGGGAGGCAGCTAGCATCGCTTAATACGAGATCGGGTGGCCGGTTGGATACCCTTCGTTCGGGCGGGAGGTGGGGTCAGTTTGACCCCTCTAGGATCTCAGAAACTAAAAGAGATAGAGCCTTCAAATTCACAAGGTATGTTGGTCTGTACGCGAACTCACTTAGGGCAAAGTTTGAGTCTCCTTTATTATGACCTTCGGGCCAAGTAACGTCAAACATGGTTAAACTCCAAGTTGGTCTACAAAGTGTCCCCAGAACCTGATACCTGTTCTAAGCAAACGGTCACATGCTCACTCAAGGTCCGTGACCTTTTTTGACGTTTCGAAGGTCATGGTGACCAAAATCATAGAATACTGCTTTGAGTTCTGCATTTGAATACGCGACAAAGATTAAGCTAGGCAGTATATTCCTAGAACGAAAGGTTAACCTTGATCATTTTAGGTCAGTGACGTATTCTGGCCTACAAGAAGTCCATGGAAAATGCGTAATATAGTTATTGTTATCAATAAATTCGAAGTCAGCACCAGAATCTACTCCAATCTCCCTAGAGTAATAAAACAGGTTGGTTTGACTTCGTTTTGACCTTCGTATATGACCCTAGGTCAATGGAATTCGGTCATTCCATTCTTGCATTGCCTAAGAAAGCATCTCAAAGATGTGTAGCTTCGCCTAACATTCCGTTGCCCCATCAATTTGAACGATTCCCTTGGAATTGCCTTCGCTGAATCCATGGCCTGATTTGACCGTCCGTAGGTCAGCGATCTTGCAAAGTGCACCCAATTTTGATACCACACGATCCGCTATTAAATTGTCTAAAGCTATGCAAAATTTAGCGCGGCTACACCGCGGCGTTCGGAAACCATTCCGGAAAAACAATCGGAGTGAGGGGATCAATTTGACCCCCACCCGAGCGTGCGGTGACCGACAAACGGTGACACAGAGTAAACATATCACTTTTCGCAGGCTTAAGATGCTCTTTCGACAGCGACGCAATCGACAATGACAATCAATTACGCAATCGCACAATTGCTACAATCGACAATCTTCAGCGAAAATCGACGCACCAAATCATATATCTCCGCAACGTATTGCCCATGTATGGGGTAGGGGGAGAGGGACAGCATCAAGCGATTGGCTGGGCATCCTAGCACCGCATTTTCCCTTGCCTGGGGTCACTTGAAGTCAAGCAGATACGAACATTTTTTGCAACAATACAGCGTCGTAGACGAGTCATCTGCTGCGTGGCACGATCATTCATACGAAATAACATCGAATGTTACAGTATTATTGACTTACAAAACATTATCTGCAGCGGTGGCAGCACCGGTCAAAATTAAATGAGGCGAACTGTTCAAAGGTGTGATAATTGCTTGGTGCATGGAAGCAGCGTTCCATAAAAGTGGTACTTCTAACCTTGTGAATAGTGCGAAAATAACTTAGGTCGTAAATACACAAAAACTTGTAGACGTACTAAACGTGCCAAAATACACATGTACATTAAACAAGACAATGCAACATTATAAGTAAAACTATACCGTCAAAATGCAAGAAGGCTTTAACGTCACCAGGTACACTGTTCAGGGATAAGCACCTTTAAATTTAGGCAAATTAGTTACCGTAACTGGCTGGCGAGTCCCTCTAGTCCTTTACAACCAGCGTCACCGTAACTAGCTGGCGAGCCCCTCTAGTCCTTTACAACCAGCGTCACCGTAACTGGCTGGCGAGCCCCTCTAGTCCTTTACAACCAGCGTCACCGTAACTGGCTGGCGAGCCCCTCTAGTCCTTTACAACCAGCGTCACCGTAACTGGCTGGCGAGCCCCTCTAGTCCTTCACAACCAGCGTCACCGTAACTGGCTGGCGAGTCCCTCTAGTCCTTTACAACCAGCGTCACCGTAACTGGCTGGCGAGCCCCTCCAGTCCTTCACAACCAGCGTCACCGTAACTGGCTGGCGAGCCCCTCTAGTCCTTCACAACCAGCGTCATCATAACTTGCTGGCGAGCCACGTACAGCTGGTGCTGAACAAGTTGAAAGTGACGCCTTTCGCTGGACGGGCTCGTGTCGGGGTGCTTTACCACGCTAGCGGAGAGTGATGGCTTGGCATCTCCTGTTAGCTCGCTTCGCCCAGGGGTTTCACTGCATTGTCTGGCAGCCCTACATGATTCGTGCACGATGTAAGCCGTGCGTGACCGACGACATGCCAGGCTTCATAGAATGGAGCGTCCGCGGTGGCTGCAGCACGCGCCACCGTCGACTCAGGCACGCACGTGCAGATGGGGAGAGCCGCCCCGAACGCTTCATTTGGGGTTGAACTTGGAGCAGATCCTAAAAAAGTGTGGTAGTTTTCACGGCTCGTCAGATTTCGGTTCCTTTCACCTGACAGACTGTGTTATGACAAGCTTCTTCCCAGCAAAAATTGTTCAGATTTTCCTCAAAGTCCAGAAATGCTCATTTTGCCCAAGCACGTCCGTCATAGAGGAAGAGGCGGGGGTTTGCTCCACGGGATCCTTGGGGGGAGGAGAGGGGGGGAGAGGGGAGGGGGAGGGGGGGGGGGGGGGGGAATCGGCGGTCCTGTGATTGGAAGCGCCGATGGTTGCCAAGGTTTATGCCAATGTATGTGCCGTGGTATGGTGCTCCGGCCGGGGGGTTTCAAACATCGATGGCCTTTCTTTAGTGTTGGAGAACGTGGCTGATATGCTTCGAGGAGGTGGCTGGACACTTGGACCCAGGTGCCTATCTCTTTCCCTGGAGACGAGAGAACATGGACAGTGTCAAAAGCTTTAGCCGGCGTTGATCGTACCTTCGACGGAACGCTCTGAGCGCGAGACTCACCCAGCTTTCAAACACGTTTTTTCCGTTTTCTTTTTTTGAGATCTGCCCAAGTCTGCCCGCACGTTCGGAATTTCGGTAGGTGCTCGCACTTAATTTAGCTTCGGCTGCTTAAATTGCGCTAATGCAACGAAGATTCCCCGTGGTGCATTTGATGGGAACATTTTACGTCACGAAAAATGATAAATTTCACTCACTCCAAACGAGTTATTTGGGAATGTCCCATGATCCAGAATGACGCCATCTACCGTCACGGACCTGGCCGCCACCCTCCACTGCCGGCCCATGATTGGCTGGCTGTGACATCACGTGTACAACGCAACGGAGTTAAGTATTGCCTTTCGCGCAAGTGGCATTTCTGGCAGCTCTACAACAGCAAAACAGTTAGCATGGGTCCAGCTTGCCACTATCAATTATATCGCGGAACTTTCTGGCAAGCTTTCAAGGCGAAACATTACCTTTCCGTTCAGTTGTTAACTGCTTCAACACAGGCCATTTCGAAAATGCTGGATATCACCGATGAGTCACTCTAGAGATACCACTTCCCGGAATTCGAGCGTCATACAAACCAAGGCCGGGGGACCAGATGTCTCAAAGACACCAAGCAGGCAGACAAATCAAGGCCGGGGCCCAGATGTCTCAAAGACACCAAGCAGACAGACAAACCAAGCCCGGGGGCCCAGATGTCTCAAAGACACCAAGCAGGCAGACAAACCAAGCCCGGGGGCCCAGATGTCTCAAAGACACCAAGCAGGCAGACAAACCAAGGCCGGGGGACCAGATGTCTCAAAGACACCTAGCAGGCAGACAAACCAAGGCCAGGGGACCAGATGTCTCAAAAAACACCAAGCAGGCAGACAAACCAAGGCCGGGGGACCAGATGTCTCAAAGACACCTAGCAGGCAGAAACTCATCCCTTCTAAGTTCCATGCCGACCAGCCAATGAAACAGGGCTCAGTCTGCTCGTGTGCCGGGATAGTGATGCAGTCATGTAGACAGCAGGCCAAAAAGAGCCGCAAGGGCCCAGTCGCTCCACGACGGTGCAGTCTTCCCCACTCAGCCTCAGTCTTGCATTCCGTTAGGCCCACAAACCCACAAACGGGTTTTACTCACTGAGGGCCACTTTCATTATGTTATGTATCATAATCTAACACATCAAATAACATTATTCAGCAAGGCCCACAAACAATGTACCTCGAGGCGCCTACTAGTCTGGGCAGGTTTCGGTCAGACTCGTATCTGATTGGCTGGCAGCAGGAGTTGTTGCCACAGACAAGAGTGGGTAGGTGAGGGGGGCATTCACGCTTTTCTGTCCACGTAATGCCAAAGGACACCGTGTTAAAAGTACAAATCCAAGCATAACCCCCGGCATTCCTGCTGCATAGCCCATAGCTCTTAAGGTGACTGCGCTCCACGCCTGCGGCCCGCGATCTAACGCTGCCGATGGTCCCCAGGTGAAGCCAGTGCGGCGCCGGGCCGGCAGCGCCAGCGGCCCGGGCCCCAGCCGCAGTACAGAGAGCCCGGTCTGGGCGTGCCTGGCGACGGCGGCTTCCTCATGCCCTGGAACGTGCCCTCCAACATCCAGATGGCGCTGCGGGACGGGCTCCGACCCGGCTGGTAGGCCGGACTGGTCGAAGACGTCTCCGCCGGAGGCCGGGTGACAATGCGGCTGCAGATGGCGCCCTTGTCGGAAGATAGGTGGCAGCACTGCTAGAAAGCCACCGGCGCTGAGCGGTCAGATTGGCTGAAGATCATGACGGAAGCAGACAGCTTGCGCGCCCAGCTGCTGGAATGCTGAGACTGTATCACGTACTGTGTCTTAGATGTTGTAAGCTGTCTGCTGATGCGTGTGGAGCTGGCCACATGCCCGTGGCAGATTACCGGGTGCGGCGTTTAAGACGTTACTGAGCTTACCCTTAGAAGTCGCTGGCGAAAAAAGTTTGCGCAAGCTCCGATTATTAAATATGATGCAAGATTATGATTGTGCTAGTTAAGTTATGTGATCGATCAAAACCCACCAATTGAATCAGACCTTTGCTTTCATGGGGCTCAAAATAATGTACTTGTTCCCTACTTATTAGTCAACTACAAGAACAGATTGTGCGAGCTCTGGTCTCCACCTGGAGTCACCGAACCCACGAAGGTGTGTGCCTTCGCCCCAATAGAATGCTCGGCCTGCACTGTGTGCCTTGGCGCCAATTAGTTCACAGCAAATAGTAGTATTGAAGACGGGATGCGTTTGTCGATACCACCTGACAAGCAGAGACCTCTGGTGGTTGTCTCCGTCACTCAACAGCTGTAGGCGGACACAGACCTCTGATGGCTGTGTCTCCGTTCTCCAGCAACAGTAGTCTCCACGTTGTCGTGTCGCAGTTCGCGCCCGCCGGCCGAGTGTCCGCAGTGTTTTTGTACCGCAGTGCTGACACGCATGTCCGTGTTCTCCAGTCCTCAAAGGCGCGTGATTCGGCGCCGTAGCCATGGGGGTGCGCTTCTGTATCAGTGAAACTGCATGTCTGTAGCCCCGTGTACGCCAACAGCCGCGGCCATGTGACATGTGACATGTGCGATGTGTGTGCGGGAGCGTCAGGCTGCCCCCTCGTCTCCCCCCCCCCCCCCCCCATGGCTCCACCGCTCCGATGTCTCGCGGTGGCACGCGTACTTCGCTCAAGACGCAGCGTAACAACGTCCGCGCCGTATTCCGAATCGTCTCAAAACATCATACTTTGTGAGAGGTAGCTACAGCCGTTAGTGCAGTCGTGAGCCGCGGCGATGGTTCGTGACAGCGACGTGGAATCCGCCGGGACCGGTCGGACCTGTGGACAATCAATCACGCTCGCCACATCCATTTATCTGTAAATACATAGCGTAGTTACATCGTGTGTGTTACAGCTTAGTTACAGCGTAGTTTGAGCGTAGTTACGGCGCAGTTACAGCGAATTCACAACGTCGCTACAGCGCAGTTAAGGCGTTTCTTGCTGTCAGGCTCCTGACAACTCTTGCAGGTAGTTCCGACTAAACCCCTGACGAAAGGTCAACCGCAATGGACTCAGAGCGGTACAGGCCCGTCCAGCCACTCCAGTTCTTCCGGCGCTGGTCAGTAAACTCAGTGGGCGGGACTTGCCACGCGGGAGGCCCATTCGGGTATGCATGTGCACTCACCAGTCTTACTCTTGGGGAGAGAGGAATTAGACGACAGGTCGACAGAGATGCCCTGCTCTCGACATCAAGGTATATATGCCATACAACCATATTAGATGTGTACAACAAAACAAAACAACAATGCGGTTCTTGCGGGTTAGTTTCACAGGTTATATGGTAAAAGAATGGTCCGTGTCTGCCGGGTGGACAGCCAGCTGAATGGCCGCATCTGTCATCGGAGATGTCCCGCTCCTAGAGGATGGCCGCCGCTCTTGTCGCAGGGACACGAGATCGGTCCCATGCTGCAGAATGATCCCTAATACAGTCCCGTCGCGACGCGACTGCTGGAATGAGCCGCTCTCCTCCGGACGTTTGATTTCAGATCGCTACTCATTTGGAGCAGCTGCTAAGCGCAGTGTCCACACCCGCCGAGCTCAATGAATATGAATGCTTGTGTGGGTGACGGGGTGCGGTGGCGCTCGCGACTGCGCCGACAGACAGCTGCACGTGCACCTGGTGCCCCCCCCCCCCACGCCAAGCACACATGCGCGCAGGACTAGAAGCTGCTCGCCGCAGACGTCGCGCGTAATCGTCGAAGAACGGTGCCGCGCGGCTTCACTCCCGCGGCTGGCGTCCGCGCCGGAGAGACGCCGAGAGGCGCCCAGACGAACGCCAAGAGGAGCTCAGACATACACCACGGGCGCCCAGACAAACGCCAAGAGGCGCCCAGACATACACCACGGCGCCCAGACAAACGCCAAGAGGCGCCCCGAAAAAACGCCAAGAGGCGCCCAGACGAACGCCAAGAGACACCCAGACAAACGCCGAGATGCGCCCAGACAAACGCCGAAAGGCGCCCGGACAAACGCCAAAAGGTGCCCAGACAAACGCGAAGGGGCGCCCGGACAAACGCCAAGAGGCGCCCGGACAAACGCCGAGAGACGCCCAGCCAAACGCCGAGAGGCGCCCAGACAGACTCCAAGAGGCACCCGGAAGAACGCTAAGAGGCACCCAGATAAAAGCCAACAGGCACCCAGACAAACGCCAAGAGGCGCCCAGACAGACGCCAAGAGGCGCCCAGAAGAACGCTAAGAGGCACCCAGACAAAAGCCAAGAGGCGCCCAGACAAACGCAGGCGACTCGGGCTCGGTGCCAGAATTTGCAACGGCAGAGTCGTTTGGGGATTTGATGAAGCACTGGTACAGCCAATCGAGGATTTTGAGGATCTCAAGACATTGAGCGCCTCAATCTCCCACCCCGAGTGCTGCAGAGGGCGAGAGAGTTGAACTGTTGGCCGGGAATCAGATTCGAACCCGACCCGTGGCGCGACACGTGGTTTGTACGTGTACACACTGCCAACTGAGCTGCAGCGACCGATCCACTCATTGCAAACACCAAGATTGTTCGCCGCCTCACGGCTTCCATAAACACCATCTCCGACATCTGGTGGTTTTATTGAGAAAACGATATCTCGGCTTATTAGTGATCAACATCAGCACAGAGAACTCAGCAGACCCAGCGACAAAACGGCCAGCATTAGGGGCTCGGAATCTAAACTTTTGACTGCTGCTGCCACATCCAGGCTTCGCCAGAGCGGGCGTAGACTGGCACGTGACAGCGCCTCGGAGTCCTGGCACCGCTGCGACCCGAGCTAGCCGCCTTCTGGCTGGTGCAACAGACTTGCAACGACATGCGAAACGATATCGAGACATCTGTTGCGTCCTCATGCCGACCTGCATTAATCCGTTCCAGTAATGTGGGTCAGTGAGAATAAAGTGTACGGCAAACGCGACGGAAACGCACTGTTAGCTGATCCAAAAACGGCAGCAAGATCAGTGGGGTTATAACATTTTTAGTTGGCATTCTGATCTCAGGACGCATGCCGTGACCCCCGGGGCGGACACATTGAACAGAAACACGTGCTGGTAGTCTTCTCGACTCAGCCATCCACTTCCCATTAGCCACGGGTTGCAGTATGGGCTACTACTAGCGTGGTGAAACGCCGTGCCAAAAGGACCACGAGGCGTTTGGATTACGCGTTTGGAAAGGCTTAAACAAAAGAAAACGACTTTTCCAACGGAAAAAAGGCGCGGAAGGAGCTATGGCTCGTGAGATTTAGCTGGCGCGAGCTACTCATCGATGGATTTTGACCGAAGACGACACTAACGCGCGCACTAATGTGACGCAACATTCGTGAGGGGCCAAGGCGAAAGCTACGCCGCTGAAAGGTAGTAACGTGTGCTGGCCAAACACCGTCGATTTCCGCTCACTGGAACAACAAGTACCTACGATTGACCACACCTAGCTGACGCTGATCTTTTGCTTCGTCTTTATCAATTCCCGCAGGTTGTTTTCGGACTCCTTGAGGCTCTTCTCTAGGTACTGTTTATTGCTCTGAAACGCACATGGTTAATGACAGCGTGTATCGAAGCAGTCGAAATGATATCGAGCTTTACCAAGCCATTAACCACAGCCGCTTTAACACGCGCCCAGGTGGACGGTTGGATACCCTTCGCTCGGGTGGGGATGGGGGTCACTTTGCCCCCCTCCCGAGATCTCAGGAACTAAGAGAACTGGAGACAACAAATTCACAGGGTGTGTTGACCTGTACGTGAACTCACTTAGGGCAAAGTATGGGGGTCCTGGGTCATAACCTTCGGGTCAAATAAGGTCAAACAACGTCAAATGCCAAGTTGGTTGGTTGGCATATTCCATTCCATCCTGCCAAATTCCAGGAGACACATTGGCACCGATCCGCTATTCGGTCCGGCTTGAAAGTGTCTGAACCTGAGCTTCTAGGCCTGAGCGTCCGAGCCTGAGCATCTGGACCTGAGCATCTGAACCTGAGATTCTAAGCCTGAGTGTCTGAGCCTGAGCATCTGAACCTGAGATTCTAAGCCTGAGTGTCTGAGCCTGAGCATCTGAACCGAGCAGCTGAACCTGAGCTTCTAGGCCTGAACGTCTAAGCCTGAGCATCTAAACCTGAGCGTCTGAACCTGAACATCTGAACCTGAGTATCTGAACCCGAGCATCTGAGCCTGAGCATTTGAACTTGAGCATCTGAATCTGAGTATCTGAACCTGAGCATCTGAACCCGAGCATCTGAGCCTGAGCACCTGAGCAAACACATGTACCAATTTCTAGCCTTCTCTTAGAATGAGCAGAACTCAATGATTAACAACACAGTGGCTCAACCACGATGAATCTCGTGTTAATGCAATATTTTGACGAATTCTGTCTATTCTGATGGTAGCAGTAGGACTCTGTCATAACTAAAATAACCATAGCACATATTTGACACCCCACTGGCCCAAAAAATGGCAAACAAGGGAAGAACTTTGCGGTATTATTTTCGTGAGGTCTAAGCAAAGAACAGCAGACAAAACCAATCCACCAGCGGATTGTACCACAAACTCCTATATAGGGAACAACTTTTCTCTTGGATGGCCAAGGTTATTTTTCATTTTTTGCTTGGCATTAATGTGATCTTCCATACAATTGGGGAGTGCTGCTCAAGTCACAAAAAGCCATTCACACCTCTTGCCCACTATGAAACTTAGCTGACTGGATAATTTGTCCTGCATCTGCTGTGCAAGCATGGCACCAATGGGATCCTCAGCATACCAACCAATGCATAGCCGTGTGCGACCTCTCAATCCAAATCGTACAGTAATTATGGCTGAATTAGATCCAACAACTTGATATGTAACACAAAGCACCGACTATTAATGCAAAAACTATCTGGTGCGACCAAACATGGAGACATGCGATGCATACAGCCGACGACATTTTGCCACCCGCTCACCTCCAGCTTGGCAATTTTCTCCTTGTGCGACACTTGCTTTTTCTCGAGGTTTTTCCGCACGCTCTGGACGTCATTCCTGATGAACATTCGCCCAATACCGTCGTACACTCGCGTCTCATCTGGAACAGCCTGCGGATCACAAAACGACGTGACGTCACAGCGTATCAGAGGCTGGCATTCACCCAGTCAACTATCTGCACCAGGGGTAGCATCTCTGTCACTGACCTCGTGGTGGGGAACCTGAGCCTTCTGACTTCTGATCATGCAGACAACCTTAGTAACATTTTTGTTGATCTGATAAAACAATAAGCCCTAATGCGTAGAAAATTCTGCTGGCAGTCCTGTGGCACTGGCTGTAGGTGTTACCTGAATTTCCTTATCTGTCAGCTGAGCATGCATGATCTGCCTCTTCAGAGTCTCGATCTGCATGTCTGACAGGCGGATGGACTGGTTGGTGTTCTGCATCTTCTGCTGCAGTTCCATGAATGCCTGATGACAAAACACATGTAAGTCAGTAACACCAACATTCAACTGAGCTTCCATGCTGGTTGAGACCCATGGCTTTGATGTGGTCTGATGTCGAGACCTTTGCTGTTCATGTTGAGCAGTGCCTAGAAACTGATGTTTGTTAAATGTTTTTGTACTTCAAGGAATTTTACAATCCTGGATTTTGACTAGCCTGAATCTATGTTGTTGGACTCACACTATACCTTCTGGTTAATTGTACTGGGGTACAGACATTCACAATGGACAGGCAATTGTGACTTGTGACTGGGCAATTGGCCCAGTCACAATGCTGGAACACAAGGTGTCTGAGAATATGATATCAGACACCAGATTTTGGCAGGAATATCAACTGTACACCATACTGTTTGACTGATGTCTCAACAAGCACCCGCACCATGCTTTTAGGGCAACCAGGTGCCATCATCTATTCTCCCAAAGCCCAATAATTCAGAACAGGTTAAAGGTTTTCTTTGAATTAAAAAAAGGAGATTACTTCTAAGTTTCATTATCAACAGCTACAACATATGAATCTGGGCCCTGTGGTCACAATTTATTTCCCATCCTTCCACCTGCATTATGAAAGGCAAACCCTTTCATGTTTTCTTCCCCAGTTGCATTCTCCCATTCATCTTAACAAAGATCTTACCCACACCCCACACCTTAGCTAGTCATTGGACTCCAGGGCTGTATGAACTGCAATGGTTATTTGAGACTTGCACAAACCTAGCATAATGAAAAGCAGATATGATAACTGGCACAAATGATCATTCATGACCTTTAAAATAAACAATCATACAGACAAATCACTACAAATGGTAGCAGACATGGGATTGGAGCCTCTCACACATTGAAAAATGTGATAGTGGTTAAGTGGGAAAATACTGTAAGCATGCAAATAAATGATCACAATAGTGCATAAATTAAAGAAATATGCATGTGTATATCAGTCTCACAAAACATACTTGATACAAATTTTACCATTCAATTCTAAGAGAGGACAACATTGATTATTTAAAATTGATTAAAATAAAATACTAACCACAATTTTTACATATCACATTAACCAGCATACAGACAAAATACCATAGCATGTTTTCTTAAAAATTCAAACATGGTTCACTTGTCAACTGATACAAATTATAACAATGCTATGCTAGGTAATGCCTAACACAGAATACCTTTGCATGCAAATTCAACTGCCTATAAACTATTTTTAAAGCTACCACAACAAGTTGCAAAAAATGCTTTCCTAGCATGAACCTGAAAACTGGTAAGGAGGAGTAGGTTTCATTCATAATAAAAGTGAAAAGTATTTTCTTTTCTTCTATAAGCAGACTGGAATTTTATTGAAAACTAATGGGGAGCAAGGTTTTTAAAAATGTAACTCGAATGCATTTTTTCTTATGCAATGAGCTCTAGGACTTTGAAACTTCAAATTTATATGCCATGTTTTAAAAATACAAATGCCACATGTAATTCTTCAGTAAAATTCACGTCAATTTCAGCCAGTGTTTCAATATTCAAGCACTTGCATGTTGGGAATGTGATATTTTATATTATAAAGCCACAATCATGGGGTTCACTGACTTTGGCCATTCCCCAAGCTTAAAATCAGATGAACAGCATCAAACTGGGTAGCAGTCAACCCACCAACTAAGCATGTCAGGCTTGACAAATGAGCCATGCTTCTGGATTAACAGGAAAAGGGCAGCATATCAACTAAAAAATTGTGTGGGCACTGCTAGTAAGACAGGATTCTAGTACAGCATATATATATATATATATATATATATATATATATATATATATATGTATAAACATATGTATGTATATATATATATATATATATACACATATTTGAATTCTGGACACCCCACAGGATGAATTCTTGTACTATTTTTGTCTAATGATTGCTAGTGCAAAGTATTACTGCACTGGTGACACAATGAAAAAAACTAACTGAGGAACACAGTGATCGACAATTAACAAATAAAACAATTTATAAAACTCGAGCACGTCAACCAACTCGAAAATTCTACGCCCCAATGTACCCGACTGATACCAACAATTCAGCAGGCACCACGCAATCAGCTTCTCCCACCAACCTTCTTCAGCTCCATGTCCGGTTCCCTCGACGCCCCTGACATGCTTATGATATTTGTAGAAACAACGTATAATGCAGCGATAATCTCCTAGTACGCTATATCCGGCAAGAATAACGAGTCAAGAGCGATCGAACGAGCAGGCATTTACTCCAACACACGTATCTGCGTGGGCCCTCCCGACAACGCAAACGTACAAATGTGACGCGGGTCATACAGTTGATTATGACCAAGCCCAAGCATGCGGCACTAAAAGGCAGGCACATGGAGTTGCATCCACTGTACTATAAATCGATGTCGCTGCTCTGTTAGAAACCTTCATTATAAATTTCAAAAAATTAAAAGCAGTAAATGCTTGCTTAAATTAACTCACATAAACTCAAGCTTTCAAACAGGCTGGTAGCCAACATTTATACCGGAGGCAAACACTTAAATTTTGTTCTAGATCCTGCGAATTTGGATCATAATCAATCACAAATTGTTGCCTTGCCCTGGGGGGGACAGCAACATACTTCCAATTACTTCTCGGTGCGGTTAACTCGGCGAGGAATAACCCCAAGAGTGAATTAAGCGAAATCGAACTTCAGGAATGCCAACATGTTGCGAGCTTCACGGATATCCCCATACTTTTTACTATGGCCCAGACATGGCATGTTCGATGAACACGATACATACAGTATACGGTTCGAATCATCTTCGGGATGGGTATTTTCGTGATTCATGCTCAGGCAATATAGTATTTCTTCCGAACCTTATTTGTAGCATCGTTCTGTTCTGGGCGAGGTCACCATGTTTTACGCAAGATTCCCATGCTGGGGCTCCAGCCTGGTAAAAAGCCATCCACGTGGCCGCCGATGGCATCGGTGTGCTGTATCTGGCGGGCGTTTGCACCTTGCTCGTGCCAGGCTGAGTTGCGAAATCTTCAAGGTATTTTGCTTTAAAAGTGACTTTTGGTGACGTTTTTGCTTAGAATTTCTACTGCGACATGACACCAATTTATTTACTGCCGTCGTACATTCCTGATAGAGGCTGCGCTCCATAAGCATGCGTGATGGTGATCTTTTGTATTATGATATGCACATGAACACAGGTACTCTGTCCAAACAATACTTTCTGCATCAAAATCAGTGACAACTCTGTGGACAATCTGTGGGTTCCAAACTTGAAGCATACATGTGATAAAGTGAGGGTATGTCACTTGATACACAGTATGTGGAATGTGATGTAAAGCAACCCTTCATCAAGCTTTCTTCGGTTAAGTATATGCACCTAACCACCTAACACTAGGTAATCTGTAAATCAGACATTCTGCATCCAAAGTTGACAATGCTAGCTGCCAGTGACACATTAATCCTGGAATCACTGTAGCAGGTCAAGTTGCTTGATTTAGAGCATTTGAAACAGATCAACCTTAAGAAATATTTTAAACACAAACATCAGCAAAAATTGAAAGAGCATGAAAGGTATACGAATGAAGTGAATGAAGCAGACATTTTGCTTTGATAAAGCTTCCTGTAATTAATAATTATGCTAAAACCTTCTATATTTTAAGAACCTTTACTTCTGATTTGAAATGTGCAGCCAAGATGGTGGCATGCATTCTGATATTTTGAATTTTTTGTATAAGTGCAGATGTGTAACACATCCAGCTTTTTGTGATCCTTGTTCATTCCTCTACCTACCTAGGTACCATTTCAGTGAGTTGAGTTCAATTGCCATCCCTTCAAAGCACATGCAGTATGTTATCCTGAATGCTATGCTTACATTTTTTATGACCAGTGTTTGAGTCTCATTCTCGCTTTCCTGTCAATCTACCCTGGAGTGGTTGGCAGCTAGCAGTGGGAGAGGGTATATTGACTGATGCCTGCCACATTCATCCCATAAGATTGAGCAAGCCATATGAAGTATGGCAATTTTCTCCTTCCAAAAGGTGCAGTTGGTCACCAAACTGATGATTTTATTGCACTGCATAGCAGTTTAGGTGAATGAAACTGACTTGTGTATTCTGCAACTGAAAACACATTATGTCAAATCAGCAGTACTTCTACTAATGCATGGAAGTCACTTGATGTCATCTATGGGCTGCACTTCTTACAAGGAAAAAATGTAACAGAGTGGATGGACCACATGATACCAGATAGGGCCAGACTGAACCAAGCAGGACCAGGTATGACTGTACAGGGTCTGGCATCAATCAAATCATACCCATATGGAACTGTATGGGAAAATGGGCCAATTGGACCAGACAAAACCAGATGGGACAAGATGGGACAGAAGGGACTGGGTGGAACTTGCGGTATCGTGCGGGACTGGGCGGAACAGTACGCGGCAGGACGGTATCAGACGGACTGGACGCAAATGGAGGGAACTGGACGTGACAGGATGGGACGAGATCGGACGGATCGGATCGGACGGACGGATCGGACGGATCGGACGGAACAAGACACAATCCTTTCGGGGCCCCGTCTTGTCACGTCCTGTCTTGTCTAGGTTCATTAAGATTCACCCGGTCCCCCCGGTCCCACGCGGTCCCACGCGGTCCCACCCGGTCCCACGCGGTCCCACACGGACGCACTCATTCTCACCCGTTCCTGTTCAGTCACGCCCGATTCCGCCTGGTCGTGGCCTTGCCCCATCTGCCAAGTCTTTTCAATGTTTTTCTTTCAGTTCCTAGGGTGTGCTGATTAGTTGTGTGGGCATTATGGCAGACTGGAGGAAGTGATGCAATCCCACAAACCTCTTTATGCCTTTTTGTGTAATGATCGCCATGCACACTATACCTGCATCAGCTGGTGTATTCCGACAGCCGGCGTAGCACGGCTGACACTGTCATGACTCAGATTTCACTCAAAAATTGGTAGCACGAGAGGGGGGGGGGGTATCTCAGGTGCAGGGTTCATCTGGTACAGTTTCCAGCTCCCTCTAGTCTATGTTACGAGGTGAGAAGCGAGGCGTTTTCGTATCTGGAGTTGACACCGGTATGTTTTTAGCTCCTTAGTATCCATTAAACCGCACGCAATATCATCAGCGTGTATATTTTCGGAGTTGCGAAGTTTCGTACAATGCATTTGAAAAATGCGCCTCGGTGAACCTGGAGAAGTGACCTTGCGACCCGGGCTAAAGGCCGTCGTTTGAATTTCACATTAAGTACGATTTGACCTTTTTAGTATGCAGGTACTATTTTATATCTCACCTTATCCTTCCAAAACAAAAATAACATCCGCGGGTGCGAGTGTCTAAATAAGTGCCCTTGACCACGGTTCAAAACAGGGCGCTTTTCACTCATTTGTGACATTCGGAGGCATCCAAATGCGACCTTTGTCTGCTGGCATGCGGCTCCAGTACATCGTTATCACTCAAGTTGTCCAAATTGGTACCAGGAGTTAACCTGATCGTGAAATCCACCAATCACAGCTTTGTATCAGCTTTGCCTGACTTACTCGTATCAGCTTACTGGATTAATACTCACAGTATCAGCTTTGCCTGACTTACTCGTCACGGTGTACACAGCCGGAGAGCCGGAGGCTATTCGTAAAGTTGGACGTAAAGCTGATATGTGCTGACCACCGTAGCACTTGTCAAAATATAAAAAGACATGAAGGTTACGAAGTCAAGTCCGGTTGATCCTGCAGTGCAATAATGCAGCGCCGGCAACGGGCTTTCGGCCGCTGGTCGCGAGCGACCCCAGCTGACCCCAGCTGTCCGCATGCTAGGCTTCCAGTGTTTGGACCGTTGTGGGACGCGCATGCGTCGGCTTCAGCGGGTCTGGGGGCAGCCTGGGCACAAGCATTTGACGTTGGATCAGTTGCCTAGTGGGCTGCGCAGATGTGATACTCGTGGAGTACCACAAATCAGAGTGATCGACCACAATATCAGTCCTGCGCGCCCAGCGGGTTTCAAAAGATGTTAGAGGTGTTTTTACGGCTTGCCTCAATGTGGGATACGTTTTGAGTGCTGCGGGCCCAAAGAAATATACGCAAGATTTGATCCGTATTCCTCGGAAAAACGTGGAAAAGGTGTCCGCAGACCGCTACGCAGTTGGGAAGTTAGTTGAATGTGCCGACGGTTTTGCAACGGCGTCCGGCAAAAGAAAGTAACTCATCATCATGATAAATGCCCGACCCAAAGGAACAAACCTAAAGAAGCATCTGCGGTTGTTTTAAGGGAGAGATGACATCAGTTGCGTTTGATGGTGCCATGGATGTCGTGCGATTTTGCCGAAAATTTTCCTTGAGCACGTGTTTTTCAGTATGTACGTGTTTATAAAACTTTTGGTCAAGCTGATGCGGTGATTTTCCCTTGTGTGAAAAGTAAGAGATTTCTCTAATGGAGGCGCGGTACGATACTACATGGCCCGGGTGACCGATTACGACGCCCTCGGGCGGTCATTGTGACCCCTGATATCTCAAAAAATGAGAGGGCTAAGAGCACCAAACTGACAGGACAGGAATGAGTATACGAAATCGGTCGTGCCAGTTTTGATATACCTATGTCGTAACCGTGGGGTCAAATAAGGTCAACCTCCAGATCAGTGTCCGAAGCGTCCTCGGACCTCCTAAGGCAACCATCCTTAACCTAGACACCCTCATCTAACCAAAAGGTCACTGGTGTTAATAACAGGTCGTTTACTTCACGTTTAGCAGGTACAAATGCCCAAAGCCATTGAAGTCAGTTTGATTTTGAATGCATAATTGGTGCCAAGTACTACCCTACGCGGCACACCCCCTGAAAGCAAAAGGGCGGTCAAGGCCATTTCAGATCACTGACCCCCACTGACTATCATGAACGCTAAGTAAATAATCTTTCGGAGTTCTTGTGATCCAGGGATGCGAAATCGGCGTCTAAACTACTCCGTAATGCGAGTTATCCGGTAGCAAAGCAGTTTGGTTGTTACCTTGATTTGACCGTGGTGATGATTTGTAGTCTCAGGACCTGTTGACATCAAACATCATGTGGCGCCCTAACTGGACTCCATACCTGACCTGAGGTCAATGCAATCAGTTTGAGTCATAATTACAATCGTCAAATTGCTTAAGGCACCATCTCAAAGTTGTATGGCTTTGCCAAGCACTCCGTTGTTGTATCGATCGAACAATTTCCCAGGAGCTGCCTTCCCCGACTGCGATGACCTGACTTTGACCTGCTATACGCCGGCGACCTTACGAGCTGCATACAATTACATATATAAAGGTCGGTTATGCAAGTGTTTACATAGCCAAAGTTTGGTGCGGGTGTGCCTCGGCCGTTTGGGAATCCGAGCGCTGCTAGTCTCACTCCTTCACGGATTTAGGAACGCTCGCTGAATAGTCTTTTTCTTTCCTTCTCATGCCAAAACGGCATGCGAATGCATTAAGGGACGGGGAAGCGAAATGTGAACCAGAGGGCCTAATCGGTTGTGCCATGTGTCACATTCTCTAAGCCGGGGATATTGCGTAGTTTGCGTTGCGTAGTTTATTGCGTAGTTTATTGCGCAGTTTGCGTAGTTTATTGCGTAGTTTGCGTTGCGTAGTTTGCACACAGAAAACCATCAACCGGTGCCTGGTTCTGTGTCATAAAAATCAGAGGGCGTGGCTATAGCCGAGACATTCGCCACACGATTTGCTAATTGAGACAATTTCTGGCACTCATAGGCATCACCAGTTTATTCTAACTGAGTAGGGAAACTTTTGTTCCAACTGCAGTAGGGCAACTGACCAATGTCCATGCATCAGCTATTCAGCGACAAGTGGGGCGAGCCGCTCGGGACGCCTGGGGAAAACCGGGGACCAGTTTAAAGTCATTGGGGAATGGAGAATGGTTCAAATTATCTTCTGTTTTCACGAGTGGGCATCGGGTATCCATACACCTCGGGTAAAACCTGACGTGTTTTGTATTGGTGTTTTTTTGCCGGTTGTCGATCTTTGAACGGGTGGTATGGTGGCCCCAGCCCTAGCTCGTTGGATGAATTTAGCCTGCGTCAGCAGCATGGCTTGGTGCAAGTATTCAGAAGGCTTTACAATCCGAAAACTTTCTGCATGGTAGTCTAATTTGTAAAGATACCTGGACAGTTAACCATGCATTGGAGCAGGGTGACTCCAGGTGGGCAAGCGCCCAACGCGGTGATATAGAGGTCGAAATTAGTGAAAATTGCCATGTGTTGTGCCAGGCGAAGCCTTTTTAGACCCTCGTGCCATCTGGAGGGACAATGTACGAAAGGTATTTTCTGCTAGATAAAAATAGCTGGGAAGAACACATGCGTCGCTCAAAGGATGACCTTTAACCTATGTCGCTAGGTCGCTTTTTCAAGTGCCGTAGCTGGATTTTCGGTTTTTGCGAATCTTCGCAATCGCTAAGACATGCACCATCATAATATTCCGTGTATTTTGATGGGTGCTAGGGCGCAAAGAACGTATCAATGTCAACTCCAGTTATGAAAACGTGTCGGGGAATACCTTAGACCCATAGTCATGACCTGGCCTGACCTGGTATTAAGTCGTGTGGATTTTATGCATCAGATAGTACCGGTTTTCAGTAAGATCTGGGACATGACCGTATTGGATGACCCCCCTGGTTCTGCGCTGGGTGAGAACGCCTCAGCTGAGGCCAGGATGGTCTGTGGCCAACCAGAAATCGTTGGTAACCAAAACGGGATGCTGATGACCACGCAACATATGTGCGGGAAAGTGCACCTTTCATTAACATAATAAGGCAAAGAAGAGCAAGTTAGCGGTTGTGATCCTCTTATTGAAATATGTAGTTGGCATCCGGTCCACTTTCAAGAAAACACGTCTGACTGTAAAAGCGTGTATTTGCAATGGGTTCTCTTCGCGCACAAACCGGTAACAGGTGCAGATTAGGTAGCCTGGATAACAAAGTACTACAAACTCAAATACCACTGTGATGCGAACCGCTTGATGCAAAAGGAGTGCAAAAATATCTTTGCGGCCATTGAATAGCCTCAGCAGTTTTAGGGTGTCGTACAACCACAATGGCGACGTTAGCATATTGAGGAATAACACCGAATGGGTATCTCGCATGTTCACCTGCTAGGACCTACTTGTCGGAGGGAAATATTTCCAGTGCAATTCATACAACTAAATCATCATGCTGAATCCAAACCTGACATGAACTGACCTACGGCCCCAGGACACGATGGAGCAGATCGGTGAGGATGCTGACAGCGTCCACAACAAGGGGGAAGCGCGCGGCCAGCAGGCGGAGGAACGGCGTCGTAGAGTTGCCACCAGAGGCGCCACCTCTGGCGGCCGCACGCAGCCCAACGTTGGCCCAGTGACCTCGGATGACCAAGCGGCCACGCCCAGTGCGCCGGCCGCCAGCCCGTGAGTTCAGTTTACCCTGTGCCGATATAAGGCTGTGTGATTTTGCCACCTGCAGGTCTTCTGTTGTGGATTTTACTGCATGTGATACGAACAGCAAGGTACCAGAGGGGCACCAGATTCTGTCTGTTGCTTTCGTTCACCACAGTGCTAGTTGCCTCCACTTCCTTGCGACAATCTATGAATGTTCGGGTGCTGCTAAGACAGAAATAATCTCACTTAAGACATTAAAGAGGATGAGCCAATTCAAGATGTTTGAGTTATTTGATTTTGGTACATGCTATGTGCTACAATCACGCTAGTTTACGCGAAACAAAGAGCCAACCATTAATGCTCACTGCACCCCGAAATATGGTGTACGGTTTTAACGCGACTTCCCAATGCCCATGCTACGACGTGACGTCACCTCAAGCTGACTGACATGGCCTGCGTGGTGACGACCTCACCTGACGCGGTATGACGTCACTCTAGGCCGACTGCGAGCCGCGCGCCAAGCAGGCGGCCGCGCGGCCGGCGAAGCGACTCCGACCACGACGCGCGCGGCCGGGTAACCAGCAGGTGGGTGTCGCCGGCCTCTGCTCGTGTGTGGAATGACTGGGGATCGGCTCAGCTTCGCCAGTTCTGAGCCATGGCGATGAAGCGATCGGAATCTGAGGGCCCTGAGCGGCACGGACTCGCACAGCGTCATAGTGCGCCTCCGCCGCGCTTCACGGGGAGAGACTGATACGCCAGACCGTTTCGGCGTGGGGTCTTGGGCTCTGGATGAAGTGTGAGGTTTTACTGCGGCATCTCTGCTCTGAGTAATGCGCTTTCATCAAATATGCCTGTCACTGAAGCCTCTGCGCATGCTGCGTCGTCCACGGCTGCGCATCGCCACATTCTGTGACATTTGTGACGGTCGCACGCTGGCGCTCTCGTGCGTGTCGGGCTCCAAGGGGGGGCACGTATCCTGCGAAGTCGCCAGCACGATGATGGCTTTTACCGCACACTGGGCGATGACGAGGCCACGGTCCGCCGTTGAACACTGTATCTCTCGTCATTGCCGTACGTGACCGAGCTGATTAGAATGCTGTGAGCTTGTTGCTCGTCACGTACAGGGAGACCACGTTATCGAAGCCGATCCCCAGGCTGGTCGGGTAATAATAACTGGGACGCAGCTAACAGAATTCGCGGGTGATCTATATTCATAGACGTACGTGTTGAGGAACGCGGGGGCCGTGCATTTTCAGGCTTCTTGGGCTGTCCGTGGCTGTTTAAAGTCGATGGTACCAGTCCGTTGTAAGGCGAAGTCGTCCAGTTCAGTGAATGGCCTGCACTTCAGTTGTCCCGCAAGTCGTCTTTGGGGTGTTTCCCTCTTACGGGCGGTGCTCACTTGTCCTAGCAAAGGCAACACGTGCGCGTCTTCACTGTTCTGACCCTGTGGCGTTTAGCACGCACACGTACAGAAATTCATCATCTTCATCTCGGCGGGCCGCGATACACCCATAAACCTCAATGCCACACCAATCCATCGCCCAGGTTCAGAGGTCAAGGGCAACAGCCGGCGGTGGACAGAACGTGTTTGATGATTTGCCCACCGAACTACTGCATCGCATTCTCGCCAACCTGCGTCCGCTACAACTGCTGGGACTGGCCCCAGGTATGTTCAGTGGCAGCGCAAGGTGGTAGTCGTCGCGCGCCTGCACGCTCTTCGTAAGTTGCTGTTTTTTCCGGTCTGGTTATCCGTTGCCATCGTCTTCAGTGTAGCCACCCTCCGCAGTGCTGGGTTACCGGCTGGTGGTTCTGTTTCCTTGCCAATTTTTTTTTTAGCAACGGTGTTCTTGAACGGAACTGTTAAAACTGGACGGTAACCGTGAAGATGATTGGCAAGTATGACGCAAGATGTTTCAGGTTTTGTCGGTGTTAACCAGTTATACTTCATAACAAGGCCCAAACAAGGCTCAGTTACATCAGTTTTGTCCCAGATTTTAACCTAAGGCGCAATTAACAGGGAAATGTTGCAGATGTGTGTAAAGTATGATAAAAGGATGCCAAGACAATCAATCATCAGGCTCGCACACCTTAACACCCGATCCGGGGGAAGCGTCAGGAACTGCCCGAAACCGACAGCTAAACCGAAAGGTTTTTGTGATCGGCGCCGAGTGTATGGCGAGAAAGGAGCGAACTTTCCGGGCGTCAGTACGGAAAGCGATAACTGGTTAGCTATTTCTAGACGTCCGTCACTTGAAACGCTGTTCATATGAAGATCCAAGCTGACAATTGTGTAGCTGATTTGCAGCGATCCCAATGTATCGATTTGGCGCGTTGCATTTGCTGGTACTAAAATGCCTATTTTAAGTTTATTTACTGGAACATAGGGCAGCCATGCACATGCGACTGTCGGCCAGACGGCATCCCTTCAGCGCGCCGAGCCGTCACGGCTGAGCACCCGTCACACGTGCTCGTCCTGTGCGCCGCCGCGGTCCGCCGTAGTGTGCTCTGTCGGTGCCGGCAGCGTCGCGCCGCCGCGGTCCGCCGTAGTGTGCTCTGTCGGTGCCGGCAGCGTCGCGCCGCCGGGGTCCGCCGTAGTGTGCTCTGTCGGTGCCGGCAGTGTCGCGCCGCTGGCGCCAGGCAGTGGACGACATCTTGGGCCGCCTGCAGCAGCTGCACCTGACCGAGGACGACATGCGGCATGGCAGCGGCGCGAGCCTGGAGCGGCTGCTGCGCCGCACGCGCTCCCTGCGTCGGCTCAGCACCAACTACCCCAGTCCCAACTTGATGCTGACAGCGCGCGTTGTCTGTGAGTGTGCGGCGATGTCCTGACAGCCCCCGGCCAAGCGGCGTCAAGCAGCCCAGTCAAGGCTCCCGTCCAGGCTTTCAAACAGTCCAGCGGACTCGGCTTGACGCTAGTGTCGGGGTATTAACAGTGTGGCCTGGTGGAAATGCGCCGGTATGCAGTGGTGATGGTGCTGCCGTTCAACCAAGCAGCAACGCGCGCGGCATCGCGTCCCCCAACCAAGCAGCGCGCGCGGCATCGCGTCCCCCAACCAAGCAGCAGCGCGCGCGGCATCGCGTCCCTCAAGCAGATTCCAGCGTGCGGAGATACTGCGTCGTAGTTAGTAAACCTTTTCCTATGCACGCGTGCTGGCTGGTCGTGTACGACGTCCGACCGCAAAGTCATGTCATGCCAACACCATAGGCACACGTCCATCGATTTATGTGGTAAATCGCGCAGTGTACAGTTAGTGATGTACGTCCAGTGCATGGCGTTCAGGTGCTCCTGCCAGTGCGGTGTATTCTCTGTTGTTCCTTTCAAACAGTCGTGTCTCGCCTGACGCCAACGCGTGTCCACTCGGCAGCCCACCGACAAGTGACAGACCTGCATAATTGTGTCGTCTGTTGATAGAATTGGAATTCGTCGTCATTGGTGAAATTATGATCTTGTTGCGTTAGTCCTTGTCACCTTGTCATTGGGGACGTTTTGGGAGCGAACGCAAGCAGACTGATGAGCTTTGTAGCGCGTTGTGAGCTTACGCAGCGTATCCTTGCAGCCCAGCTGCCCAAACAGCTGACACATATCGACTTGAGATCCTCGAGATCAACCCCAAATCATGAGGAGTCTGGGCACCAGGTGCTCTCAGCTGGAGGAAGTCCGGCTGCCGCACACGTGCACGGACGGGTGCGTGGCGGCCCTGCTGCGCCACCTGCCCGCCCTGCGGCGGCTGGAGGCGGTGAACAGCGAGGTGCGCGGCACGGCGTTCTCGCTCCTGCCCGCGTCGCTGGAGTCGCTGAACGTGGACGGGTGTGAGGAGCTGCAGTCGGCCTGCCTGCGCCAGCTGACCCGCTGCCCCGGGCTGCGACAGCTGGACGTGTCGGGCGTGGAGGGGCTGCGTTCGGCGGACCTGGCGGTGGTACTGGACAGCTGTCCGCAGCTGGAGGAGCTGGACGTGGCCTGGTGCGAGGGGCTGAAGTCGACGTGCCTGCGTCAGTTGACCCGCTGTCCTCAGCTGCGGGAGCTGAGCGTCTTGTTTCTGAGTGAGCTTGACGCGGAGGACCTGGCGGCAGGCCTGGCCGGCTGCCCGCAGCTGGAGCGGCTGAGTGTGGCGGGATGTGAGGACCTATCGTCGACCTGCCTGCGTCAGCTGGTCCGCTGTCCCAAGCTGCGGAAGCTGGACGTGACGCGCATGAAGAGCTTGCAGGCGGCAGACCTGGCGGCGGTGCTGGCCGGCTGCCGTCAGCTGGAGTGGCTGTCGGCCGTGGTGCTTCAGCCCCGCTGGAGCTCTGCCTGCCGCCGGCCGGCCTACCCTCCCTGCGATACCTCGACGTATCCCGCTCCCATGCGGTGACCGACGCGGCACTGCAGGAGCTGCCCGACCTGCTGCCAGGCCTGCACACGCTCAAGCTGGAATGTGAGTGTGCTTTGTATGCGGCGGTTTCAGCGTTCACTCCGGGTATGTACCCTGGACTGTACATTTGCCGCCGGGGTGCGATGTACATGGTGTTTCATTGCAGGGCATGGAGATCTGCCATCAACGCTAGTAAGCTATTTACAACCCAAGCATTCGTGTTGGCGTGTTCGAGATCAGGACGCGTAATGGTTCTAACCATCAGACCTACAAATATGCGCCGAACTGCCCGTGTTCCCGGACGACACTGTCGCCAGCTGAGGTCCCAGACAGATGGGGACCGGCCAGTCCCAATGCATGGCATGCTTACAATGCAGCACACCTCCAGAAATAAAGTAACCCATTAAAACTGACTTACATAACCTATGCTAACTAGCACTAACGTATAAACTAGGACATAGTGTAAAGCAGTGGTGTGCAAACACGGAAATGCGCGACTGAAAGCCTCAATTCTGAACGTAGTTGATGTCAGGTAATGCCACGCAAAACGCGCTGTTAAAAGCGTTCCACGCGCCGTGGACTATGGTTTGTAGGGTCAAGGTCAGACCAGGGCCAACGGCTTGCGGCGCAGCTCTCTCAAAAGGAAGCGCAGATCCAAGCCTCAGGTCGACCGGCGGTAGAGTCGGGTCACAGGGCTCCATCTCAGCACCGTTCAAAGCCCTGAGCCCTGCGGCAGTGAAACGGAAGTGACGCTATTGGAGAAGCCTGTCTTTGTCGTGTCCCTGACGTCAGGAGGCGATCGCGACCGCCGTGTATCGGGACCGCAACGAGGCTGCGCACACCCGTATGGGCCACGGCATCCGTGGTTCAGCTGCAGCTGACTGTCAATGTGCGTCGTGTCAGTTCGTCGTGTCAGTTCGTTGTGTCAATTCGTCGTGTCAGATCGTCGTGTCACTTGTGTCGAGCGGCCGCCCGACGTGCGTGTTGCGTGGAACGTCGGGTGACTTCTTGTTCGCCTCAGTGTGTGGCAGGGTGACAGAA